TACAGGAAAACACTGAGGTTCAGAAAAGGCTGAGAAACACACCCAATGTCTGAGTGTGTCAGAAGCCAAAGTGTCTACTATGTTACTGACCACTAAATTGCTGCTTCTTAAACTGGGTCCATGAGAAATTCTGTGGCGTATGTAGGTTGTCAGGAGTAGGAAAGTGCCCATGAACTTACTATGAGAATTAAGCATTATTAATGTTGATGAAACATTTTAAAATAATTAATATTCATGTTCTGAACTATTTGGATAACTACTAAAACCCAATATTGGCAGAATCATTTCAGTGCTTAGCTTTGCATTTGCATTTACTTCCTTTTTAAGGGCCAGTTCTACATTAGTGGGGGAAGGCTTATGGAGAACAGAGGCTCTTTTAATAGGGGAATGATGCATTCAGGCTAGCAGGGAACCAAATAACATCACTATGTGCTGAACAAATTAAATCGTCTGAATAGAAAAAAACAGGGTCAATTGGGTCACCACATAACACATGCCTGCTGAACTGAAGAGAGCCTGTACTGCAGCACTCAGTACCATAATCACACTATAATTGATGATTTCATTTTGTCAAAACATCACCATCCATAATATTTAATACTATTTTAAATTTTAGTAGTTTTATAGTTTTGCTTGTGTCAACCTGTAAACCTGTTCTGGTTTTATACTTGTGTAAGACCTATAAACATAAAGCATTTATACTTAGTTTTATGTATATATTATTTAGATAACATTATAACAAATACGTTAACCAAAAACTGAGGGGCTAAGAGACTTTTTCCTTATTAAAAAATGACGTACATTATTCAGGTTTGAGAAAACTGGTCTACACAGTCCTGCTTGTGAGTGTGGTCTTCAGCAGGTCACTTAACTTCTATTACCACCAACCTCACAGGAATTATAAGAGGATTAGAAGAGATGATGAATATTAAGAGTGCCTGGACCACAGAATGGATTACAATAATAGTTCTGTCTCCTTTCCTTGAGAGAAAATCTGGAAGCTAAATGTAGTCTATGCTCTTTTACTCTAACTGTGGTCTGGGGACCAGGAAAATTGGTAACACCTAAGAGGTTGTTGCAAACTGATCATTCTAGAAGCCGCCCCAGAACTACTGAATTGAAATCTCCATTTAATAATATTCCCAGCTGATTTGATACATTCACATGAAAGTTTAGGAAGCACTAGTCCAGGTCTCCATAGAGAATGCTGACAATAAAATTCACTGAGTTTTTAACTACTCTTCAGGTTAACTTTGGTAATTAGAGAAAGCCTGATGTAAATGGCCAAAAAATAATGTCCCATCCTGGGATTTAATATAAACATTATTATTTCACTACTGATTCTTTATAGGCTATATTTGTATAGTGTAAGACCCTCTTTAAAAGGGATCTAACTTCTAATTCAGAATCAGCCAAAAATATTTTAAAATGCAAAGTTTTCATAAATGCTTTCTGAATTTTCAGTAAACAGATTGTAAGCATTAGGTTTCCTTTGCCCAATAGCAATGAAAATAATTTCTATGTGTTAAGCTCTTATTTAGCTCACAAGATCTGGTCTAATAAAGTCCTGTCTCAGTCTGTGACGACTGCGTGCTTACATTAACAGAACACATTACAAAAAAAAAAGGTGTGACTGTGTATACAAAATGTATTATCTTTACTGTCCAACGAAAAGTATCAGATTACATTCTGCAGTTGTGATTTTGTTAGTGTAATTTACCTGGAGTATATCTATGCTTTTCTTCCTGAACTCAGTGGTCCTACACATTTAAGGCATGCTGTACTTGAAAAGATTCAAAGAAGCTGTTCTTGGGAGTGTAAAAAATAAAGTTAGTAATTAACACATAAGAGAGTCACTAATATCTAAAATGATCTTGATACCTCTGTTTAAGGACTAGTTCAGTAAGTCAAAGCTTGAACTAGGTTATTTATTGCTCTATGTTCTTTACATAGGGACCACAGAAGTCAGACTCTAAGAATGCAAAGTCAAGCAGATTATGCATATATGCTTGTGCATGTATATATATGTATATATGGTTAGGCCTACCAGGCAATCCTTATCAGACCCGGGTTTATAAAATGACCTAGATTATAGATATGTTATGAACTGAATGCTTGTGTTCTCCACCTTGCCTGCAAATTCATATGACATAAAAAGTGATGGGATTTGAAGGTGGGGCCTGTAGGTGGTAATTATGTTATGAGGGTTGAGCCCTCATGAATGGGATTAAGGGTCCTTGTAAGAAGAGACAGGAAAGTGACCATGTTTTTCTCTCTCTTTCTGCCAAGTGAGAATATAGCAAGCAGATCATCTGCAAACCAGAAGAGGGCCCTGATCAGGAATTGCACTGGATGGCACCTTGATCTTGGGGTTTCTCAGCCTCCAACATTTAGAAATAACGTGTTGTTATGCCCCCCAGTTTATGGTATTTACCCAAAATGACTATGGTAAGGTAAGGCCCTCCTTCATTCTTCATGGTCTCAGGTAATTGCAAAACAAGAGTTAATTATATGCCAAGCAGCAGCAGTGCTAACATAATTAAAACACTCTAGTGCATGTAAATTATGATGATTACAACTTGAGAAATCTGTAACAGAAACCTGGCCAGGTGGGGTGGCTCACGCCTGTAATCCCAGCACTTTGGGAGGCCAAGGCAGGCGGATCAATTGAGGTCAGGAATTCAAGACCAGCCTGGCCAACACGGTGAAACCCCGTCTCTACTAAAAATACAAAAATTAGCAGGGTGTGGTGGTGTATGCCTGTAATCTCAGCTACTGAGGAGGCTGAGACAGGAGAATTGCTTGAAACCTGGAGATGGAGATTACAGTGAGCCAAGATCGCACCATTGCACTCACTCCAGCCTGGGTGACAGAGCGAGACTCTGTTTTACACACACACACACACACACACTACACACACAAAAAAAAAAAAAAAAAAAAAAAAAGAAAGAAAGAAAGAAAGAAAAGAAAAAAAGAAAAAAGAAACCTAACTCCAGTTTTCAAGGTTTTTTATATTACCTTGCAGTTGTTTTGGACCTTAATACAATCAATCCACTGTCACTAGAACCACACAACTCTCCTTTAGTACTTCAAATTCGAATCATTTCTGTTCATATATTAAGCAATTTAAACTCTATATACATACATACAGTCAATGTATCAGGGGAAATACAAAAAGTGATCTTTAGTTTATGCTGAATACTTAATTTTATCATTTATCCATTAACTGTTATATACACAAGACTAAACCTACAGCTTGAATTAAACAATATCCAAGCAAACAGAAAAGAGGAAGAAACAGGCAAGCGATGTTTTTCTACTAGAGTGACTACACTTACCCGTCTTCAGAAAGAAGTGATATTTTCTTTCTTTTCCATTTCAGAAATTTGATTTTAAAAAATCTATTTTTCCTACCAAAAATACTCTAAAAATCCTCTGCTAATTACTTTCAAAATACTGCAGATGCATTTCTTTGAAAAAAGGAAATACATGTCAGGTGCGGTGGCTCACGCCAGTAATCCCAACACTTTGGGAGGCTGAAGTGGGCGGATCACTTGAGGTCAGGAGTTTGAGACCAGTCTAGCAAAAATGGTGAAACTCTGTCTCTACTAAAAAAAAAAAAAAAAAAAAAGAACAAAGTTAGCCAGGCCTGGCACTTGTAGTCCCAGCTACTAGGGAGGCTGAGGCAGGAGAATTGCTGGAACCTGGGAGGTGGAGGTTGCAGTGAACTGAAGTCACACCACTGCACTCCAACCTGAGTGACAGGGCGAGACTCTGTCTCCAAAAAAAAAAAAGAAAGAAAAAAGAAAAAGAAAAAATAAAGCACCAGCCAATAAAATATAACACACATTAAAGGAATATGTACCATTTGCCCTCAAGAGTCTAATAAAGGCTTACCTTTTAAGAGGTAATTTTCAGTAACTGAGAAACTTGGATATAGATGAATTAAGAACCCAAATACATGTGGAAGCAAGAAATGTACTTGTTTTAAAAATATTATGCCTTGTATGATTAATAAATTATTTAATAAATTTTATTATTTAATAGTTTATTAATCATGCAAGGCATGATTTTATAACTTGTGTCTTCAAAAATTCAATTATGATTTGGCATAACCAAAGGTTTAATTACAGACTTGGTGGTGCTTTGAAATAACATCAGATGCTGGTGGTCATCTCCACCTAGTCTCTCCTTTATCCTCTAATCTGTCATTAAAAATGGCATGTGCTATTCAAGCTAAAAGTTTTCACGAAGGCAGACTGGTTTACCAAATGTTACTTAATCATTTCAATATCAAGGTCACTATGTTTCTCCTCTAGGATTTGGTACTTTAAAGTAACTTCATTCTATAACACTTCAGACATCTATAAAAGCATGAACTTGGTCCCACATCAAATTTAGTTTCAGTAAGAACAGTGGTCCTTATCTTTCTTTAATCATCATTGAATTATAAAACAGTTGATACGTATATAGTTCTGTACCACCTTTATACTGTAGGACATCAATTGTACTAAAATCTAAGCATATGTAGACTCCTGCTTGTGTTCCTAAACATTAAATATTGGTATGAATATAGCAAAGAAACATTCTTTCAAAATTACTGCCTGTAAGAAATTGTATATATAAATTTGCTTCCTTTCAAATTGGCAAAGTAGCTTACAGACTTTATTATCTATACAGAAAACGGTTCGGGTCAGATGCTTGAGGCAGCCAAGTTCCCATTTAACAAGGAAAAGTTGGCAGACTTTCATAGCTACTCCTTGTGAAAAAGATACCTCAAATATGATCTCACGATTGACTGTAGAAGATGATGTTGAAGTTTCAGACTTTTAAGGCACAGGGCCCAAGGGGTTAAAAAAAAAAGTATTATGTTACGGAAAGTTTAACAGCTGACATCTGACTAGCTGCCTGGATGTGATAACCTAGCGGACATAAAAGAAGACCTTAACATAGATGTATATATAAGGATCAAGTAATTTTAAGGTCTGACACAAAGAAGATGTGTTCAATACATGCAAAAGATAAGAACCTTTATCTAAAAAATGTGAAGCCCCTTCTTGTTTATATGAGAAAATACAGGATGAATTTAATGCAACTATAGGGGGATTTCCCTATTGTAAATGAAGAGAGTATGTTTCTTTGATCTCCAATGAAGAATTAGTTTGGGCAAAAAAGAATGGGCCCTTGGAAGCACTGATTTGGATAGAACAGAAAGGTTCTGCTTTTTTTTTTTGTCTGAATTGCCAATGTACATGATGGGGTGATGAAGATGGGGCCATGGGGAGGTGGCTGTGGGAATTAAAAAAAAGTATAAAGATACCCAGATGGGAATAATAATACTTTGATCTTAATTCAAGAAGAAATGTTTAAAATGGCCAACAGATGCCTCTCACTGAAGTGTAGCATCAAGGGAGGAGCAGCCAGAAGTGATTCCGGACAAAGCAGTAAGGAGGTCATCAGGGTGGGAATTTTATACTAACAGGTCCTGCCCCACAAAAAGAAAAATCACTCGAATGGTATCAAGGACAAGAGGAATACTGTGTAGCATTCCCTCATATATATTTATTCCCATTTAAAAACTAACTGAAGATACCCCACCACAACAAAGCCCTTTCTAAATGCTATCTTCATGATACCTCTGTGAGGTAGACAGCATAATTCTAATTTTTATTCATAAGCAAGCTAAGGCACAAGTCGAGCCTGAGTGGTAAAAGTGGTCTGCAAATTATCAGGTCCCTGGATTTGTTCACTGTGACATACTTCCTTCATACTGATGCAGGCAACTGAAGAGATGCTGCTATGAAATGTCCTTAGAGGTAGTAGACCTGATAGCTAAACAAAATCGTTCACGACTCTGGAAAGACAGCACACACTCTGCTCACTACTGGAGTCTTGGGAGATGCTCTTAAGAGTACTAGTATGTGCAGTCCTTCTGAGTAAGACCAGATCATCCATGATTATAGGAGAATGGCTGAAGATACAGTCTACTTGTTTCCCCACACTGTTGAGATTAGAATAGTAGCAATCTTAACAAATTATATCATCCAAGGAACCTCAGTACTTAAACTTTAGTCTTAACTTGTACATTAATAAACTAAGTCCTATATTTGTTAATGATTCTGATGTTTTTTGTCAGATACATTTCCACATTCTTGGTCCCAGATAATTCTCTTTTAACATAGCCAATTTATCTTTAAAAAATGTACATGGTGTTAATACCATGGATCTGAAGCAAACAATGCGTCTCATTAGCATACACGGGATCTGTATATTTCAAGAATCACTTAAGTACACAAAGGAAGCGTGCAATGTTAAAGAGATGACGTGAATAGTCTTGGTGGTTTATCTAATGGGGAATTTGGTGTCCTTCGAGAAACTAAAGATACTCAAAAGTTGCTCCCCATTTCTATTAATGACAATCTAAAAATGAACATTTCCATTTGATATAAATATACAAATTTAAAATGTATGCAGTTCAGAATGGCCTACCATTTTTAGATTGTTTATGTGCCAGAAAATATACAGTCAATAAAAAAATACCAGAGAGGTAGGGACAAAAGGCTCTCTGGGTCTGTACAGCAAAAATGAATATCACTTCAACAGGTAGCGATTTGTGGAGGAAGTGGCATCCTGGGAACCAAGAAGCACTGAAAGATGGCAGGTCACAAATCTGGTGATGGGGGATATGATGTATAATAAGGCCCGTTTTCCTGTGGAAAGAAAAAAGGACAAGAACATTTAAGTAACAGAACCAATTTAACTGCGAATGTGAAAGAAAGGGATATACAGTCACTGAGGTCGTGATATAAAATGTCTAGCACATGTCTGGCACTAAGCGGGCCCTCAGTCATTAGGTAGTTCAACTGGTATCACTCAAAGTATAAAACAGGCAAAGGCAATAGGATGATAATATTGTTTTAAAAATATACCACGTATTGCATATTTTATATGCCAGACATTTTACAGGTGCTTTAAAAATAATCCCTTTAAATCTTCACATAATGCCATGAAGTAGGTAACGTTCTTACTTTACAGAAGGGGAAAGTGAGGATCACACAGATTGCATAATTTACCTGAAGTTACCTAGTTAATAAGCAGCACAACCTGAATTTAAATCCAAATCTATTTGACTCTAACATCCAGATTCTTTTTTGTTAGACTGTTGTCTTACTGAGTGTCAAATCTTAATTTAGAGTTATGAAACAAAAAAGTTATCACAGAGGAACTTTAATAGCTAGAACTATTTTGGCAGAAGTGAGTCTTCATGACATGCCTACGTGGCAAGGCTTGTAACAATTACAGTTCTCAGGAAATTTACTACAAGAACAAGATGGAGAATTAAATGCCAAATCTTTAATGTCAATGTAAGGGCAACAAATTACTGTAAGGGTGAATTTTTTGGCCCTTAATTTGGCTAATCTCAATAAAAATCAAGGCAGTTAAGTTTATGATAGAAGGATCCTCGATTAGATTTATGAGACTTAAGACTGGTTTCTCATTTTTAAGGAAAGTATTTCTTTTCAAAGAATTAGTTTTTCAGCAAATCACAGACAGAAAACGCTTAGCACTAGTAAAAGACAATACTTTGGAATGAAGAATTAAGAAGGAAGAAAATAGCATTTCTTCATGTTACATTTACTTTGCAGCTGTTATGGAGCATTAAACCTACGGGGTCTTGAACATGGTAGGTAGTGAAATAGCTTGAGAGACTAAATAAATCAGATACTCGGCCATTCTTCACCACAGATGCTTTGGAGCAAGAATTGATCTTGGGCCATATCCAAGAAAACAAGAACACATCTAGGAAAACTTACCTCTGATTATAAACCTAACTATGTATCAAACAAGATTAAAAAAAAAAAAGGTAGAAAAAATCCTAGAGTTTGGCTACATTTCTAAAAACTTGAAAAACCTTAATAAAATCTTTTTTTAAAAATTGACAAACGGGACCTAACTAAACTAAAGAGCTTCTGCACAGCAAATCAAATTATCATCAGAGTAAACAGACATCCTATAGGACGGAAGAAAATTTTTGCAATGTATCCATCTGACAAAGGGCTAATATCCAGAATCTATTAAGGAACTTAAGTAAATTTCCAAGAAAAAACCAACTTTATTAAAAAGTAGACAAGGACATGAACAGCCATTTCTCAAAAAAAGACATATATGTGTATATGTGGCCAAGAAACATATGAAAAACAGTTCAACATCACTGATCATTAGAAAAATGCAAAACCACAATGAGATACCATCTCACGCCAATCAGAATGGCGATGACTTAAAGTCAAGAAATGCTGGTGAGGTTGCAGAGAAATAGGAAGGCTTTCACACTGCTGGTGTGAACGTAAATTAGTTCAACCATTGTGGAAAACAGTGTGGCGATTCCTCAAAGATTTAGAACTGGAAATACCATTTGACCCAGCAATCCCATTATTGAGTATATACCCAAAGGAATATAAATCATTCTGTTATAAAAATACATGCATGTGTATGTTCACTGCAGCAGTATTCCCAATAGCAAAGACATGAATCAACCCAAATGCTCATCAATGAATAAAGAAAATGTGCTACATATATGCCATGGAATACTATGCAGCCATAAAGAGGAATCAGATGTTATTTGCAGGGACACGGATGAAGCTGGAAGCGGGAAGATTATTCTCAGCAAACTAATGCAGAAACAGAAAACCAAACACCATATGTTCTCACTTATAAGTAGGAGCTAAACAATAAGAACACAAGGACACAGGAAGGGGAACACTTACTGGGGCCTGTTCAGGGAGGGTTGTGGGGAGAGCATTAGGGAAATAGGCTAATGCATGCTGGGCTTAATACTTAGGGTTGATAGGTACAGCAAACTACGATGGCACACCTTTACCTACATAACAAACCTGCACATCCTGCATATGTACCCCGGAACTTGAAAATAAAAATAAAATAATTATTTAAAAAAATCCCTATAAAAATGTTTCACTAACCAAATCCTGTATCTTGAATATGCATGGAAGCTATACTTATAGAAACATTCCCTGAAGAGATGAATCTATTCTGAGGTTCATCTGAAAAGTTCACCAGCTGCCTTTAAGAATTCTCTATTCTATTCTATTACCATTTTTCCCCTAAGTTTCTCGTATCTACATTAAATTGTGATAAACTAAGAAGCGCAGGTTTAATACTTAATGCCATGAAATAGAATTTCCAATTATTAATCTCACACTGGGCAAGAGACTGCTAAGCAATCAAGTATTTTTTTCTATTTCTAGAAACAATCACAGAAATTTAAGGAACTGTTGCCAGGCAAAATTGTATATTCTCTGCTCTGTTAAGACTGCCAGTTAGGGAGGATCCAAGATGGCCGAATAGGAACAGCTCCGGAGTGCAGTTCGCAGCAAGAATAATGCAGAGGCTGAGTGCCCACTGCATTTCCACACAAATTTTCACTGCCCACAGACCAGGAGATTCCTGGGCCGAAAAATGCCATGAGCTTTCAGCATGGAGGCTTCATCTTGTGCCAGATTGGTGCACAGAAACTCACACAAAGCTGGGCGGCTGTTTCAACTGGTGCCTGGAATGCCTGGGAGACAGAGCCGACCATTGAACTGAAAGAGAGGGGGCAAAGAGAGGGAACTAGGTGATCTGGCTCGGCAGGTACCACCCCCACAAAACAAGCAATCTGAAATGCTCTAGACTGAGAGTTTCGCAGCAAGTGCAGCTGGACCAGGACGGTCCAGCTTAGTGAGGGGAAGGGCAACAACCACTACCAAGGCAGTTCACACGACAGCTGGGGGGAGCCTGCAGCAGCTCAGCAACACCTCTGCTGGCAGACTGTGACTAGACTACTCGGTGCAGGGCAGGGCATCTATGAAAAAAGGCAGCAGCACATCAGGAACTTACAAACAAAGCCCCACCTTCCTAAGACAGAGCACCTAGGAAAAGAGGTGGTTATGAGTACTGCTGCAGCAGACTAAAAGTACCTGCCCAGCAGTTCTACATGGAACAATGGAGCTCCCACCACAGCACATGAGCTCCTATAAGGGACAGACTCTCTCCTCAAGCAGCTCCCTGACCCCTGTATACCCAAAGAGACACCTCATAAAGGAGAGCTCAGCCCGATATCTAGCAGGTACTCTTCTGGGATGAAGATGACAGAATAAGAAACCGGCAGCAACCCTTACTGTTCTGCAGCCCCTGTGGGTGATCCCCAGGCAAGCAGGGTCTGGAGTGGACCTCCAGAAGTCCTGCAGCAGAGGAGCCTGTTAGAAGGAAAACTAAGAAACAGAAAGAAATAACTTCATCGTCAACAAAAAGGACATCCACTCAGAGACCCCATCTGAAAGTGACCAACTATAAAGACCAAAGGTAGATAAGGCCACTAAGATGGGGAGAAACCAGCACAAAAAGGATGAAAACACCAAAAACCAGAACACCTCTCCTCCTCCAAAGGATTACAACTTCTCACCAGCTCGGGATCAAAGATGGACGGAGAATGAATCTGATGAATTGACAGAAACAGGCTTCAGAAGGTGGGTAATAACAAACTTCTCTGAGCTAAAAGAACATGTGCTAACCCAATGCAAAGAAACTAAGAACCCAGAAAAAAGATTAGATGAGATGCTCACTAGATCAACAGCTTAGAGAAGAATATAAATGACTTGACGGAGCTGAAAAACACAGCACAAGAACTTTGCGAAGCATACACAAGTTTCAACAGCTGAATCAACCAAGCAGAAGAAAGGATATCAGAGATTGAAGATCAACTCAATGAAATAAAATGAGAAGGCAAGAATACAGAAAAAAGACTGAAAAGAAATGAACAAAGCCTCCAAGAAATATGGGATTATGTGAAAAGACCTAATCTATGTTTGATAGGTGTACCTGAATGTGATGGAGAAAATGAATCCAAGCTGGAAAACACTCTTCAGGATATTATCAAGGAGAATTTCCCCAACCTAGCAAGGCAGGCCAACATTCAAGTCCAGGAAATACAGAGAACACCACAAAGATATTCCTCAAGAAGAACAACCCCAAGGCACATAATCGTCAGATTCACCAGGGTTGAAATGAAGGGAAAAATGCTAAAGGCAGCCAGAGAGAAAGGTCGAGTTACCCACAAAGGGAAGACACACAGCAGATCTCTCTGCAGAAACCCTACAAGCCAGAATAGAGTGGGGGCCAATATTCAACATCCTTAAAGAAAATAACTGTCAACCTAGAATTTCATATCAAGCCAAACTAAGCTTCATAAGTGAAGGAGAAAGAAAATCCTTTACAGACAAGCAATTGCTGAGAGATTTTGTGACCATCAGGTCTGGCTTACAAGAGCTCCTGAAAGAAGCACTAAACAAGGAAAGGAACAACCAGTACTAGCCACTCCAAAAACGTACCAAATAATAAAGACCATCAACACAATGAAAAAAATGCATTATCCAGCTAGCATCAAAATGGCAGGATCAAATTCACACATAATAATATTAACCTAAAACATAAATGTGCTAAATGTCCCAATCAAAAGATACAGACTGGCAAATTGGATAAAAAGTCAAGACCCATCGGTGCTGTATTCAGGAAACCCATCTCACATGCAAGGACACACATAGGCTCAAAATAAAGGGATGGAAGAAGATTTACCAAGCAAATGGAGAGAAAAAAAAAATGCAGGGGCTGCAATCCTAGTCTCTGATAAAACAGGCTTTAAACCAACAAAGATCAA